CATTGGTCTAACGACTACGGCATGCACGGCCATGGTGTGCGTACACACCCACGCAACATGCCATACTTAATCCAATTAGATTCTCCCACGAGGAATAGGTTGGCCGTACCAAACCTGGCGATGCCAAGAGATCTACTTGTAGTGGATACAACTCCACAGGTGCATCGTTCGCCTTCCGCTCTACCCTACCGATAGCTGAGGAAAACGAGCGGATATGTAACATCCGCGGGAGGTCGCAGCGATCACCACCTACAACAGTCAGTCATGTCTATCGTCTTGCCTGAACGCCAAGGCCTGTCTGAAACATGTCCCAATCCTGCACGCCCAGGTTGGAGAGGAGCAGCGCGTTGAAGGAGTTGGAATAGAGGTGGGGGCCGTGGCTGAGGTCCTCCCGGGGATAGAAGTCGTCCGATCCCCGAATAACCACGCGGTCCTGTTATGAGTTGTAAGGGCAGATGGATAGCATCAGATCGTGGGGTTGGTGTGATTGGGCAGATTGGTGTAGAGCAACGGGTCTATCACACATTTACGCATTTTTTTGGTGTTTGGGATCGATACATGTCGATGGCCACACCTACCGCAAGCATCAGCCCTCAAAGTCTTTTGTGAAAAAGAGGGTTGCTACGCGAATTGCAATTCCGACCGAGATTCAAGGCACGTACGCGCATTATGTCTTCCGATTTTCCAAAACTCTTACCACCTTAGGCATTCACCCCTGAATACACACACGGGCTCGGGCTGTTCTTGCGACTGTAGTTATGAAATATAGACCCCAGCTTATTTTTCTGCAGTCTTATTCCTTCTGCAGTGCATTGCATCTCAACATGGTCGTATACCTCGGACACGCAAGCGATATGGAACAGCACCGAGGGCGCGTGGCACATGCAGTGGATCAGCGCCGCGGGCCGATCCCCTTCCTGTACCAATAGTCCAAGGCAACGGTAACGCACGCAAAGGGGGCGGACAAACAATCGTTCCGCGGAGTACACACAGGACAGCGATTCAACCACAGGCGAAACAACAGCAGTTGGTGTACGGTAAGCCGACTGGTCTTGTTGCCCACCAGCAGATCGAGCTGGCGTGCACATCTCGAGATCCGGTCGGGGTTATCACGGTGCAGTCAGAGACCTCTCGGACGCGTTACAGTCCTCGGGAGGGACGGATGGAAGGGGCGTAAGCAGCGAGTCTCCCTTGGGGGCTCCGTGAATCAAACCGCGGTCCCCCATCGCCTACTACGCTGACTTGGTCGGGACCGTGTAGCTTTCGGCCTCACCGGGTGCCGTGAAAATGCGAAAATGCCACCACCCAATGTCACGACAACAACAGCTTTGTGTACCGACAGGAGAAGACTTCACCCTAACTTGACCGTGAAACGTCAAAGAGGAAAAATTGACCTTTGGGTTCGTGGTCAAGCTGTTTCCAACGATACCGTTGCTGCTCCGAATAGCCTGCACCCCATCACCTTGAAAGTGCCCTGCACAGACTGAACCAGCCCCTCGTGATACGCCTTTGTAACCGCCGGAACACCTCCGTTGCCTCCGCCCATGCAGTCCAGAATCGACTGTGCGTCCACCTGGTCGTGAGAGTACGTCCAAAGACACAGCACCCGCCACGCTCTCAGTTAAGTTCGAAGTATCCGCGGTACCGCTGTCCTCGGAAAAAAAGGCGAGGAGTTCGGCATAGCGTGTCAATATCGACAAGGTGCGTCAATATCGAGAAGGTCCGTCGATATCTAGAAGGTGCTGCCCTCAACGCGGGCGGGGACATGATTCGGAGAGACAACCACGACCAGTGCTCCCAAGATATCGCGGCACCAGCACACGCGCAGGGTAAATGCTTCCTGCTGTCTTGATACTCTCATTCCCAAACGAGAATTTCACGGCGACTGCCCTCCTCCTGCAGACCTGAACGCTCAATTGCCTCTAATCGCACAAGCGGTAGAAACGGCGCAAGCTTTACCTGGAAGGGTGGGATGCGGCGGCAAGAGCCTGCTTCAAAGCTAAGCAACCATCCGTTCGCAACGAGAACAAGCGAGTCGGTCGCAGTGCATGCACCGTGCGCGCACCTTAACCCCGTCGACCCCGTTATCTCTAAGGTATCCGTGATAGGCCCTGTAGAATGCCTCCACGTTGCCGAGCCTCACCATCCCGAACCTCTTATCGTCTAGTTCCGGCTGCATCTGCTCCGAAACAAGCGCAAAAACACAAGCGGCCGAAGGTACGAAAGTTAAGCGGGGGCAGAGAAGTGATATCAGAGGCACATTCGGTGGACGCATGGGGCACCCACCGTAACACCGGCGAGGGCCACCAGTGCCTGCTGGTCTATGTCGGTCGGCCATTCACGCGCTCGCTCTCGGTGTGCAAAGAATCGGATGTTGGTCGTTCAAAACATGCCGTGAAGACCACCCGTCCGACAACTCTGTCCGGAGCTTCTACAAACACCGCAGGCACGTGCCCCACCTGTGCAAAACGCTTACGGGTAGTTTATACTTATGCGGAGTTCAAAGGCCGGGGTCACCTCGGGATCGACCTCCCGTATTCCTTCCGGCGCTAGCAGATTGGCTACGAGGGGCTCGAAGGGCACCATCTCGCTCGCCTCGGGCTCCACGCCCGCCCAATAACCCGCCATGGCGTGCCACGCTAGCACTCGCTCCACACCGAAGTTTCGCTTCATCTTCCCCACCGTATCGCCGAGGTCGAGCAGCAGCTTCCCTTTCTCGTCGAACCGCCTGCGACAGCCCGTGCCAAAAGGGAGGAGAATCGCGGCGGCGACAAAGGCACAGATTCGGCACCTCCGTATTGAGAGAATGGATCCCGCCATGCCGCGAGGACAACATCGGCGCCGCTGTTTACCGTTGATCCCGTTCCAAGGATGGGCCAGAAGAGAAATATTCTACTTTCAAAGCAGTATGCACACGGCACAACACCGATATCGCTTCTGAAAAAAAAAGACGTCGTGGTGCGTGAAAGAAGGGGAGCAACGTGGCAGCGGCAACGCGGATACTGACGCCTGTGGGTGACGTGCACCCCCGCCTAAATGATTGCCTGCCGCCTGAGTTGCAAACTGTCCGGACAGCGTGCGGCCGACGTAGGTACACCAACGTACGATCTGGATCGCTTTTCTACAACCTGAATCGTTTGTTGGCCTCGAGCCCCACCAGCCGCTCGTCCCACTGCTCCGTGTTGAGCGCGTCGTCGTTGGTCGTTCGTTGCCAGCCATCATCGATGACTACCCAACGCGGCCGCACACCACCCTCGTGTAGCGTTGACAACCCTTCGAGCACACCTGAATACACCGCCGTGGCCACGGACAACATAGCTCTTCGCAATAAAAACAAAACACTAAGCGGTGTTCACAGTCGTACTGCAGAAGCAGTGAGAACTCAGGAAAATGTACGAAGAGAGGTGGTACTGTTGTACCACGAGGTTTCACGAACAACTCGCAATATTGACGATAACGCTGACATGCTTGAAGGGCAAGAACGTCTCTCGAGTGCAGCAGCACCTTCCGGGGTGACCATGGTGTAGAAGCTGTCCCATGTACACCACCCGAAGCTGTCCACGAAAGAAGCCACCGGTCGCTCCTTGCCCTCATCATCGCACGAATCCCGGTCCTCACCGCAAGCACCTGGGTCAACCCTCTGGGCAACAGTTGCGGATCTAGCCCCCTCCTTCAGCGACACCAGCTGCGCACTCAACCGATCGGTGGCCTCCCGCACTAGTCTCTGCACAAGCCGGAAAGGGTCTGGCCCCGTCGCCACCAAAAGCACGCCCAGCGTGTCCGGCAAGAGGGTTGCGGGGTCGCCCGTGTCTGTGGACACGGCTAGAGCCGACGGGGCTTCTTCGTCTACCGCGGCACCCGATGGGCTTGACCCTTCGCCGTTCGACGAGTCGTCACCCGCACCATGCAGGCTTGCACGTGCGTGGGTGTCGCTGATAGGCAGTAGGGCAACGTACTGCTGCTGCTGCTGCTGCTGCTGCTGCTGCTGCTGCTGCTGTTGTATCTCTGCCAAGATCAATGCCGTTTCAGGGGGGATGTCAAGACCAGAGTGGCCGTGAGACGGCTTGAGCCACCATAGCTTGAAGCGATGCAGGCAGAGATGGCGCCCGAAGTTGCCGGGCTATGCGCGCATTAGGGCGGAATAGGGGGCGGGAGCAGCGGAGCCAAGAGGAGAGAAACCTGCACGGTATTGTAGATGCCAGTGGAGATCTCATGTACCGGGGTGGTAAATCAGTACTCGTCCGTTGCCGCACAGACACGCAGGCCGCCGGCACCTCAGTCGTAGCGTTACAGCAGTAGTCCATGGCGTACAACAAGTCTTACTGCTCGCAGCCCGTCACTCTAGCAAGGTGGGCCTAGAGGTAAATCATCCGATCACTTGGATTCACGGCAACATGTAGGCACTCCTCTCCAGCGGCCAACTCGCACCCCCCCCAAAAGGCCTCCCTGGCTTCAATCGGGCAAACGAAGCGATTTGCCAATTTCTCTCAACCAACCAAGGAGAGCGTCCATCGGCAAAACAAACAGTGCGCGGTCATACATACATACAGCATTGCACATGCAACCCAAGTAGCACGACACAGAAAATACCTTGAGAAGTACTGTACGAGTATAGACTACTACAGAGACCACGGCGACGGAATCTTCTTGTCTTGGAGAAACGTGAACACCTTTATGCCAAACGTCCAAGTTGCAGCAGCGGAATTGCACGTGCTGGCTTCCACGATCCAGCAACGATCGTCATGCCCAGGCAGCGACATCGCAGCGGTTCCGTCAGGTAGCAAGAGCGGGAATTCTTCGTCCATGGGTTCCATGCTCTCCCTTCGTTGCATGGGCAGCAGGCCAAGGAAGGAGGTGTAATACAGCTCGCCTCTCGTGCTCTCGGCGTAAAGTGCAATGGGTGACGATGTGAAGCGGCGTGATTGGCCAGGAATGGCAGTCCCGTGCACCATGTGTCGACATGAAACAAAGTGGAACCCGCTTGTCAATCAACAATCAACGAAGAGTCGAGCTTGTGATCACGAGCAAGATGGCACCCCCGAAGTACGCCCAGACTCCTGTAAACCCTAACGCGCCGGCGCAGCCGACGTTCACGTGGTACAGGGTTCTAGCGGTAATCGTCGTCGTCGTTGCGTCAACGCAAACGGGCTTCACCAACACGTGAGACGGCGCGGGGCTTCAGAGTAGCGGTGACCAGAATTGGAGTTGGATTCCGACATGCGTGAGGTTGAGTAACCAACCACAGAGGCCGAAGCAGCAAAGATGGAGCAAGGGCAATCCCTCAAATACAGTTGCTGAGAGAAGCAGGGGGAGATGAAAGCAGGACTGGAACCTGCACATGTTGATGTCGTTGTTCGCTTGAACCTCAAAAAACGTTTGTGGAACTTGTGAAATGATTTGCTCCATTGACAGCTTCATCGGAAAAGCTGTTGTCAACTTCGCCAACTGCGTCGCGTACGACCAAAAGCAAACCATGGGGGGCTGCCTGAGCAACGTGATCGGCGAGATCTTCGGGACTAACAAGGCTTCGGGGTCGTCACAGCACGCGCCCGTCACAGGGACAGCGCCAAATCATGGGAGCACGGGAGGTGTGTTTGCGAAATTGAACCTTGAAAATTGTTGCGGGCGAACATTGCCGAAGTAACCATTTCTGCGGGCACAGCGGCAAACCGCGAGCGCATGTAGTATCACATGCGTGGATCCCTCGTCCCAGCGGATTTTGTATCATGGTGGGTCACACTCAGGTAGATGCATATTTTCTAATACAACGAAGCGTCGGTGTGTCACAGTCTTAAGTATCTCAGAAAGCGATATCCGTGTAGACTGTGCGGAAGAGGCGAGTGGTACATGACACGTGTAACTCCACTTTTGATGTGAGATCACAGACTACAAGCGCTACTTGTAGGACGGCCTTCGCGCGAAGTTTATGACATGAGGAAATAGACCAGGGAGGGCGGACGCAGACCCTATTCCCTACAACACGTTTTCATATGCATATGCATGATACGAACAAGCCTGCGAAGGCTACTGCTGCTGTTAAATGTAGTGAGGCTTTCGGGTGTGGAGAGGGCGCTAAGACGTACGGGAGAAGAGCCCTTCCTGTCGGGAGTGGTATGCAAATGCAAATGCTATGATATGTCACGGCGTGGGCTGTGTTAGCTACCCCCTACGGTGAACAAGAACGTGGATTGGTCTGTAGTCAGTGCAGCGTCCGCTTTGGTTGAACTGATAGAGAGAGGTGAATGCTGGTCAGCTGGTCTTTCGTTGTCTCGAACTGTACTGCTGTAGGGATAGCGTCTGCTTCACAGAGTACGCTCGTTCTCTTGTTAATGGCCGTTGGTGACATAATACATTACACACCCTGGTCGGTTTCCAAAGCTCGAGTTCTCCACAAGAGAAAGTGGCGGTGCCGCAAACGGCGGTGTTGGAGCCGTCTTGTGGAGGCTTTCCGATAACGCATGGTTGCAGTATGCATCCTGTTCGACGTGAAGTAGTCGAGCTTTGAAAATCGGTCCAGGGGGCTTATGTCATCTATGGTAAGTAGTCTTGCACTACATCGACTACATGGAAAAGTTTGTTCTAAACTGTGGAGAATTATGGAACCCTGCGTGTTGTCTGTTTTGTCGTTCCAGTGCACCCACCGGACAACCTCCCGAACAAGGTGTTCGACGAGCACGACAGGCCGCAGCATCACTATGATGAACATGGGGCACGGGTAAGCACGAGCTCGCAGCAGGACCTACAATCGTTCTTGAAGCAGCCCCGACTGGGCTAAATGTAGCACCCCCTGTGATGCGGAGATGGAACGGTTGATGGTGGACACGGCAGCCAGCTACATTAATGTGCAACGACTTTTCGTCGCATGAATAGCCGGTGTAGCGTACTATCCTACTTCTACTTGCAGACGTGATTGCTGCTACGTCCCAGTACCGCCTTTTATAGTGCAGTGTGCGCATACGGTTCAGGCTCGGCGAGAAGAGCCACAACCTCCATTGCAGGCATTACATATTCCCTCGTTTTTTTGCTACATGAGGCTCCTGCGTTGCCTTTGACGCCTGCATTCTTACTTCGTCTGTGTTGTTTCTCTTCCTCTGCAGATCTTTCCCGACGCGATACTACACAGGGAAGAGGCCGATTACCAGGCTAAGCTCCGGTCATCTAAGCTCGCGGAGTCCCAGAAGGCGTACCAGGCCGGACACAAGGCCAACGCCCATGAGCTGTCGGTAGAGGTTAGTCTGTCCATAGGGATACTGCTGCGACATCCGAAGGATGTTCGAAATGGTGCTGTATTTGATGTTTGCTGTTGTTTTTCAATGGTTTAGTACTACTACTGTTTTGAATATGCATGTGTCCGGGAGAGAGGTCTCTGTTCAACGTGTATTCCAAAGAGGGAAATGTGTGGTTTCCTTGAAGCGACGATGAGGCTACGAGTGATTAGGGCATTATGCAGCAGCCCCACCCTTCAGGTGACGGGAGATTTCTGGGTGTAGAGGAGGCGCGAGATCTAGAGTACTTGTCCCCGGGTCAACCACCATTCCTACCGTATTGTTGTATCAACTGATTCCTGTCTTCGCGGATGCATCGATGTGAGTTTGTGATCTTGCTATGGTAGCGAGCGTCAAGGTGTGGAATACCTCCCTCACGGCATGCACAACCAAGAACCATCCTATGTGATGTTTGACCGCATTCCCGACGCGTTTCGCATCCGCTGTATGTTCTCCAAACTTGAAACGTTTCCAACCGCACAAAACGAACGACAAGGGGAAAAAGCACGGACATTTGATGGAGGCGGCCAACAAAAAAGCTGCGGAGGCCATCATCAAGCCTCAGAACTCCGAAAAAACGGGAGTGCTTGACCTGCACGGCCTGTATGTAGCGGAGGCTACGGAGGCAACGGCCGCTTTCCTCCACTTTCAGAAGAATGCCAAGGAGTTCAGGGAGGTGGAGGTCATCACGGGTGCGGGACACCATAGCCAAGGGCATCAGGCTAAGATCAGGCCAACCATCGAAAAGCTCATCAGCAGCATGGATCTGCCCTACCATACCCCACCCCACAACGACGGCGCGTTCATCGTAGAGATGTACTCTAACCAAGACCTCGTGGACCAGATGTAGAAAGATCTTGTGTTTTCGATGTAGCATACGCATGCGGCGCCTCTCAGCAACTTGTGGTGCAGGTTGCCAAATGTCTAGATTTTCGAACGTATTACGTAGTGGGCGCGCTTGCTCTAAAACCGTGGTATGCGGTACGCCCTTGTGCGCCCTGTTTCACGTGTGGCGTGTGGCTTGCAGACAGCAGCTTGTAGATGCACGTTAGCCTAGTCGCTTTTCGACCAGCCTTTTGGCGCACATTCATATTTACTTCTTTGTGTAGGTCCTAGAATAAAGCTCGTGTTTCTCGTATGTTCTCCTTTTAGTCATAGCTTGTTTACGGTCGCGCACAAAGTTTGCGAAATTTGACCGTTTTCAATACCCCGGTGTTTCCCCCTTGAGAATGGCGAAGTGGAACGTTAAAGAACAAATATCCCCGGGCATTGCAACTGCGTGGGAGCTTGGGTCGTGTTTTCGGATGGCTGCGCCAAGCGTGTCTTCGCAGGATGAGTGGCGAAGTCAGCGGTTCCGTGTTGTAGGTTCGGTGTTATACGTGGGCGTGTGAATACTTTCTCGTGTACATGAGCGCAGCTTCATGAGCTCGACCCATGTGCGCGTCTGCACGTGTTGTTGGAGTTGGAATGAGTCGAGGAGATACACAAAGGCTCGACATTGATACCATCGGGTACAGTATGGTCGAGCGTCCTCTTGCTAATGTTGAGAACATCCGTGCCAGTTTGTTTACGAATGTGTCCAGCGACAAATAGTACCGCATATGAAGAAGAATCTTTAGAATCCGTGTGTTTTTAGACACGATATACTTCGCCAGACCGTATTCGAGCGTGTGGCTCTTACAACAGGTTTTGAACCAAAAACCATTATATTTTCGGTGTGCATCTGGCACACCGCCATTTCCATTGGCCGGTCGAAGTTGTTCTGGACGCCCACGTATTTCTCCTCCCTGGTGGACATCTGTTTACATGGCTATCTGAACGCTGAGACTTGTAATAAGCCATTGCCGATGTGGCCTACCCTTACTGCTTTGTTTCGCACGCTCTGATGTACGGTCAACGGATACTCACCATCACCACCCTACAGTACGGTGAAAAACGGCTATCCTGCGGATGAGCTTTACGAGGGGAGCAAATTCTCCCCGTCTAAGAGAGTCACCGTTGCGTACGCCCCGGTCTGGTTTCAAAACTGGATGAGAGGAGGGTGTTTCCCGACGAAACCGTCAACATTTAAGGGGATTCCGTCGGTTCCCGAAGAGAAAAGTGTCGCTGTAGATCTGTAGATACGACATGACAAGAACGCCATGACACATACACCGATGTGTCAGGGGACTGACATCTTATGCACTCCTTCTTGCGATTGCAAAATGTTTTCAAAACTTGCATGCACCCCTGACCACTGCACCCAAACCTCCAGCAGTTGTACTTCAATATTCAGTCATGAATCAAAATCATGACATCGATTTCACGAGTGCAACCCTCGCCGCAACTCGCGTGCCAAGCTAGGAGGGCTTCTGCCCCCTGAATTCAAAGAAATCTTCAGCGGGCTTTTCCCCTTCGATTCCAAAAAACGCCTTCTTGTGAAGCCGGTAACCCGCCAGCCTCAGGCGGGCATAGCCCACGAAGTCGAACTCGATGGGGGAGTACCGGGCCTGCACGACCGCCCACAGCGACCACCAGAGGTGCGAGGGCAGCGCCCACCGGTTCACCTCTGTGCGCAACGCCTCGACGAAACTGTCTTCATCTGAACGTGGCGATTCCGTCGATGCATCCGTGCTTCCCTCCTCTGCTGTCTCGTCCGCCTCACCCGGCACGTCAGTGCCGGGTTCGGGAGTCGTCACGGCTCGCACATAGGCCGTCAAGAAGGCCGCCTGAGTGTCTGCCGTCGGGTAGGACTTCTCAAAGTTCGAGTCAAATCCGGCGTGCTGGGGTGATAGTCGTGAGTGGTGACAGAGCGCAACGGGGGCAACGGTGAGGAGAAAAGTTGGTCGTGGTGCAGTTGGACTACTCGGGCTCGTAAGAGCGGGTTGGCGCGCACTTGCGAGCCGCTGGCATGGCCAAAGGGCTTCAGGCCGCTCTGCTTGCTTCGTGATTGGAAGCCGCAGGCAGCGCAGCCAGAGGCCCAGCGACACATGTGACTGCAGGGATGTGCACAGGGTGCAGGATACACAAGCTTCGTCGATACACATACAGCGCAATCCACACCCCGCCATACCACTCTCCAGTCTCAAGCTGACGCACCTCGCAAAAATGGTTGGCAATGTCGAAAGCGCGAGGGTTGTACCCGGAGTACTCGAAGTCGATTACCTGTAAGAAAGCAGCGTAACTGGTGAGCCCGACAACATTCGGATAGCCATCCTCTTGAACCGCTCGGTTCCGGGGTGATGATAGTCGTGCTTGGATGCGAAAATAATGGCCTTAAAAACGCCAATGCTGTCGTGTGACGGCACACCTCCCCGAGCTGCAGCCTTCAAACACAAGTTGCTGCGAAACATGACGCCTGAAAGATTGCTGAGCACCGAGCGTCATGGCTCGACGAATTGTGCGTGCGTGATCACGTGTAGCGGTGCCGAATTTCTCATACTTTCGACGTTGCTTGTCAGGACTTGCAAAGCGAGCGGTGGTCGACGAGGAGATAATCCACGACGTAGACGCAGGGCCCATACACATGTGCACTGTGCACGCCAGCGGCTCAACCACCGCTCACCTGCACCCGATCCCAACCGTCCGCGTGCAGCACGTTCCCACTCAAAAGATCGTTGTGGCACAGCACAACCTCCCACAAGAATCGATTCGCGCGCTTCTCAGCTGCGGAACTAACGCTCGTCGCCGAAGCACGGCTGTCGGCACCGTCGGGCTCTCGGCACAGCTTCTGCCTCAGCCACTCCACCTCCTCGCAGACCCAGTCGAGGTCTAGGGCCTTGATGGCAGCCGCCTTGGCTTCGTCGTCGAAAGTCAAGCCTGACCGATCACATGACCCGCCGTCAAGAGTTAGGACACGAGACGCCAGACCACCACCCTCTTTGGCCTAGAAACAGCTTTCGGCAAGACGTTGCTTGAGTGCCATGGAATCCTGACGGGTTTCCCCCATGCCACTACACCCTAGTGGAGCATGCCTGATGGTGCAACCCGTACAACTCACTTTAGCCTCCTCACACGGCCATCGTTTGTATCGTCAACGAGCCCACCGGTTCTTCGGTCGCTGGCCTCCTACCACCACGCCGGAAAACGTCCAAAGACACAACGGCACGTGGTCACCTAGAGAGGTGAGAGGTGGGTTCCGCTCAAGCGTGCCCTGCAAAAAGTAATCACCTGCCACAAGGTCGACTGGGATAGTCGTAGGAAACACCAAAAAAAGAAGAAAAAAAAAAACACGCCATGTGAAGTACCGCCGGCGGGCTCACCCTTGGCCAGTTGCAGCCACTTGGGCAGCACTTGCCATATCTCGGCTTCCCCAGGCGGCCCAGCGTTGGCGACCTGTAGGCCATGTAATCTGCCCATTTCTTGCGCGATGAGCGACACAAAGTCGACCGGCGATCGATTCGACAGCTCTTGGGGCTCGAGGGCTCGGGCCGGCAAGAAACCCTCTATTCGACCGTTGGTGAACCGGCCGTGAAAAGGCGGCGCGTACTTCATGCTGTCATGAAAAGAGAGCGCAGACAAGAAACAAGAGGGATATCCCGCACCGCATTAGCGGCCTGGAAACAGCTGGAGGTTGCTAGCGGTCGCGCTGCACACACAAGGGAGGAGCTATCAATGGACGACCAAGTGGCACAAGATCTAGAACGTCCCCGAGCAATTAGTTAGAAGTGGTGCTCATGACGATCACAGATAGATGTGCGTCAAACAGCCAAATGCGCCAAGGTCCCTTCAAAGAGGCTGTTGTAAGTTGCAAAGAACGGCCGAAGGCTTGACAAGCCGAGGACCGCTACGGCGTCAGCACAAAAACGCCTTCAGGCGATAGCCCGTGAAACTGCATGCGCTCGGCAACATCTACACACCTAGCGAGCTCGTCGAAAAGAGCGTTATCCCTCTCCCGGTCGATAAGCACGTCGGTGTCCTTCCCGAAAATTCGCACTAGGATAGCGGCCTCTGCTGGGGGTCCCTGGAGTTTGAAGAGTAAATTGGTGATGCCCCCGCCTGCCGATGGTTCAATCGCATGCATACAGGCAGGAGGCACCGTGCCACACAACGAGTCAAAAACAACGGCAGAATAGCAACTGGTGTGCACGACGAAACGAAAGGATCCAAGGAAAATACATGTGTCGCTCCTAGATATGTGATATTAATTGTTGCCAAGACAAAAAAGGAAGGGCTTTAGGTTGAACATGTGTTTCTTCACCCAGACGATCCCCAGCGTGCAGTCGAGTATAACAAAGGATAGCCAATCGGCCAACCACGACATCATCCGGGAAAAGCAAAGGTTAGATACGCACCAGCATTCAGTGCTCTCGCTCTGTCCAGAGTGGTGTGCTCGCGAAGGTATGAGACAGGGAACGAAAGTGTCTTCGGCTATGATAGGCTAGCCAGAACATCACACCTATGGTGGTGACGACGATGTCCTCGGTGGGGTAGTCCAACCAGGCGCCTTTCATCACAGATTTAGCAACGTGCTTGACATCTTCCAGCCGCTCGGAACCCTGACGCAAACGAGCACGCAGTAGCGACGTGATTGGGGGTATTTGGGGTTGGGTTCGAGTTGGGGGATTGATTGGGTTGGGCTGAGTTGGACCACCGGTGCATAAAGAACTGTCAAACCTCAATCTTCGCCGCGGTCTTTGTGGTTTGGCCGCTTGTTCGGTTGCTACCATGCCCGCGGAAGATGAGCTCCACCGTACAGCAGAGCCTGAGGACACTGACGCTGACGCTGGAGTTGTAGTCGGGTGCTGGGGCTCGGCGTTGGTATCGAGTTTTAGGTAGCATTGGGTGGGGTAGGATAATTGCTTAAGCGTAGGGCCTTGTTGACCTTGTTGTGTTGCCGGGTTTGGGTTTTGGTGGGTACGGATCAGGGTTGGACCGAGTTGGACCGGGAAGGACCACGATGGTTCGAAAGTGTCAGGAAGGACAATGGATATAGTGTTGGGGCGGCTTTTGGCAGCCTTCCTTGGCCGCGACGTCGCTCGGTTCAAGAGTTCTGCCGCTGGTCCATCCAGTGCAATTGGGGCTGTGGGATTGCAGGAACAGTGTGAGGGGTTAGGCTGTCTGTTGGGGGATCGGTTGGTGTTAGGGTTGGTGGGGGTGGGGGTTGGACCGTGCTAGGGAGTGCAGAGTGGTCTTGCGGCGGATGTGGGCAGCCTTCGTCAGTCGAACCATCGCTCAGTTCAGGAGTGATGCTTCTAGCCAAGCAAACTGAAGTTCGATAGTTGGAGATAAGCCCGGGTCAGGCAAATGGTATGGGGGTCGGGTTGGATGGGTTGTATGATATTGGGCTACCGTGTTGCGGAGGATCGGGTTGCGGGTTAGTAGCGGTTGGACCGTATTCGACGGGCGTACTGGGTAGCATCGGGGCGGCCTTGGGCCACCTTCTACCGCGACGCCACCGCTTAGTTGTTGTCGCCGTTGGACGCCCTTGCAGTGTTTCACCTCCCACTACCCACCAGGTCGGGGGCTTCTTCCAAGATGTTGGTTCGGCTGTAGCATGAGGGGTCACTCCCAGCGAGGACGGTCTCGATCAGCCTTGTTCTTGTGGTTGTGTAGAGGGCTAGTTGCTCCTCGGACTCTCTGCAATGCGGTTCGATGCCGAGCGCTTCGAAGGGGCCGTGGGATTTTCCTTCGAAGACGGGTCAGCTGAGGATGAAGCACTCGCGGTACCGAGAGGAAAAGCAGCAGCAGGAGAAACGGCACGGGCACGAGGTGGAGCTTGACCGGATTGATGAGACGATCCGGGAGCTTTCCCTCTCAATGTGGGCTGGAAGCTTTGGAAGAACGCGAAACAATCAATATGTGAAGATTATGCCCGAATTGACGGTTCCCCCCGAAAATTTGTGGAAGGTCGTCTGAGAGAGAACCGCATCAAGCAGCTAACGTCAGCAGTTCATGAATCTGCTCTTGGCAATCATCGGCAAGTTGATTGGCTACCGTTCTGGTGACACAAGCACGGTCCCTGTGCCTAGTGTCCGTGTCCTGGGGAGAAATTGCCCGCCGAGTAAAAACACCAGACTAACATGTATGTCATCGCTTCTTCGAGTGGGTAGCTTCTTTGCTCGGGAAAGCGGTCCCGCATAAAGAGCCGGCGCAGGGCGCGTTCGGTCGCCGACCGCGCGGGGCGCGGGGATGATCGGGTGGGCGCGATGTTTTTTTTTTTTCGTGCCATCTCTGGCGCCGCGTGCTTCCTTCTCTTCGGTGCACACTACACGTTTGCCGCGTATGTGCACTTACACTTCTCAGCGTACTTGATACACTACACTTTAGCTAGACGCACCGTCCGGGGTCACACAGGAGGGGGTACCCACGCCGGGGTTTCTTCTTCTTTTTGTCTTCTTTTGTTCCCACCTACCTCCTGCGGTGCCTGCCTGAGATATTTTTATCGCGAGAAGTATGGCGATCCCTTCCCTTGCGACGGTTAAGTCGATGTCGGCAATGAAGTCGATCAAGTTTACGACGATCAAGTTTACTAACAACAAGCTTTGCACGCGTCGCTTCCAACTTAGACCAGGATTCACTTCAGAGAAAAAAAACTCGAGGGAGTATACACATGTTGTTTCGAGTTCGCCGGAATTGTGGGGGGAGGTTCCTGCCTGCACGATCTGTACAAGACTGGTTAAAAAATGATACGATTGGTTGCTAGTGATGAATGCTGAGCGGGGATAGTGGTACCGTATCCCCAAGTTCTCCTGTTTCCCGCTAAATAGCTTGTCGTGGTACATAATCAATCGATTTCTCACTATCAGCAAAACTTATTTTTCCTAATGAGCAAAACTTCAACTCTTGGAGAGCAATGCGGATCCAAACTATCAATACTGCGTCCCGTGTCACGACCCGATTGGGCCCAGAAAAGAGATGAAACACAACTGCGCTGATTGTAAGCGTTGTGCTGGGCAAACCACGTGTAAAGCACCAAGACGCATCCCCTATGTACCTGGCATTATGTTTGTACATAGCGAATTCCTTCACTCAGAACAAGAGCGACCCGGCTGCTTATCATTGTTTACGGCAGGGTCTCACACAGCAGTACCCTGCTGTAGCATACGATCGATGTGCAAAAGGGGCAGATAGATGGCACCTCGATCGCTCCTCAATCACGCGGGTGCTGAACGAGCCCGATACGTCAACGGAAAGTCGTCGACGTGGTGCTTCCAAATCCACCATTTATGGTATTGGCACAATCTTCGTTGTGAATCAATCGAGCTTCGAAAATCGGTTTATGTAGTAGCGGGTGCCATCTCTCGCCGCTTCACGTGTCTTGCATCTTCAGTCTCGATTTTGAATTCAAAACGGAGAACTGTCGGAATGAAGGCGTTCGTGGTGCCTGCTCTTGTAACGGCGGTACAGCAGTAAGCAATGGGCGCCCCCTAGCTCGCGCGACCCTGGAGTTCGCTTCATTTCCTCTGTGAGTTGTGAACACAGCTACATGTGTAGACTTACTAGATACCCGATACCCACATCCTGCAGTTGTAGGTGCAAGTTAGTATGCATGCGGGGGGTGTTTCAAGTTCGAACCTCGAACAGAACCCGCACCGCATGTTGGCAACTCTAAACTGGTGCCGTGTTGTGCGGGCGCACGCATGTACCGTGGTAAACGATTCATCGCCAATCCACCCTATGCGCCCACTCACCTCCCGGACGTGGAACGGGTATATTGGGATGAGCATGCTGCGTGTGCGTGGGCAGTTAGGGTACTGACGAAGCAACGGAGAACTGAGGGATGGGGGAGCACGCGAATGGGAAAAGACGCAAGGTATAAGGGTGCCCTCGGCGGGTACGTCCGGCCAGCTGCTCAATGCCTGTGCCTGCTGAACTCGGCTGCGATAAACCACACACCACGCACCACGCACCGAGGCACAAGGGCTATGAGTAAGAGACAGGAGGCGTAAGGCAGGCCGTGGAACTTCTGCCTCTTCCACTCCCCTGACAGGCGGACAGGCGGATGTCCGGCTTTTCAACAGACAGCAGTGCCGAAGCGGGGAAACTGGTGCGGTGATACGGTAAATTTGAGCTCATATTTCGTTTGTCGAGAGCCGCCGCCCGCGCGCGGCGGGTACCCGACGCGATAATCTCCGTACAAGAAGACGAGCAGCAGCAGCAGCAGCATGTGCTCCAGCTCTACGTGCCAAGGATGTGCCAGGGACGATGGGTGCGGGTGGTGCAATGGTCCCAACGCCGTCACTTCTGGCGAGTGCATTGCCCGAGAAGATGATGCCTCGTGCTCTTCGGGAGTGTTGTTGCTGGAGGTGGACGAGTGTCCCTCTGTCGGAGCCGATGTGAGTCTCAACAAAACTTGTGCGACGTATTCGCCTGACGCCAATACTTTGCACCCCGAACGTGAACGTACCCAACCCCAGCGATTTGGGACGTTCATTCCCGAGGGGGGGCTGTAGGTTGAGACAAGATAGACAACGACGCTGGCCGAACTGGCCTGTCACTTGCGTCAGATGACGTCAACGAAACGACCGCTTTAACTGCACAACGTTCCCCACCTTTGTCACGCTGGTGGTCCGGCAGGTGTACACTCCTTCCACTGCTACGCATATCTTGGTATCAAGTTTCAGCATTTTCGAGTGAGATCAACCACTGAAGTGTAGAGCAAACCCGCTCCAGAGAAGTGCTGCTGCTGTGGCGTCCTGCGTGGAACGGGAACTTCCTCATATAGCAATGCGCAAATATATAGAGAGCGTAGGCTCCTGAAACTCATACCAGACCCTTCTTGAGCACCGCCCGCCGCATCGGCTGATTTATCTTGCAGTTGCCTGGTGGGATTAGGTCGGAGAGCATGTATGTGTGGAGGTGGACGGCGTGATATTCTGGTGTTGACAGTTGACAAGCGGAGGTTGATTGGTTTGATTTCAACTGCCTAAATATATGCATCTCTTCGGGTGCTCTTTGGCCGTTTTCAAACCCAGTCAACATTGCAACATCCTGGACTGGATGTCCGCTTCCCCTGTAACGTCGTCTCTCTTCGTGTACAACGTCTTTACAAAAACGCACTGCTGTTGTTGTGTGGGTTGGGAAAGTGCAGTTCCTTCCGCGCAATCTACTGCCTGGTACATACTGGCCTCATTATGTACTGCACCTCACAGAATCACACTACAGCTTATCCTCACACAAGGTCCCTCGGGACGTTGGTACTTGCCCTCCCGGGGTGACGAAATATTACATGCCGAAGGAGCCACATGAGTACATCGGATTGGATATGAGGTTAGGGTTAGGGCTGGGGTTCAGCTTCATGTAACGTTATCGCTGGAGATACACTTGACGACGGCGCGGCTTTCCTTGGCCGTTCTTTTCGTTTCTTGGGACCCCGCAAGCGGGTCAGCTTGAATGGGTTGATTGGGCGGAACTTCTCTTCGCGGAACACGTCCTCGTGAATTAGAGCTAGTCCTAGCGACTGTAGGCTTCGAGCACCCTTTTTCCGGATACCTGGTGAGCTCCGGACACGCGCCGTACTCAGCGACGATACTGCTGTGTGCCCGTCAAAAAAACACTTGAGGAAAGATTCGCTGCCACGAGCGGAAGCTAATACTAAGGCACGGCGGAGCGAAAGTGTCGAGTCATTCGAAGCCCACATTCCATGCTTTTGAAGCCGAGATCAAACCATGAGAATAGCGAGCGCTGACTAGTCTAATGGTTTGATTTCGGCTTCTGTGATGACACAATCAACGCCAAACTGCCAGGGCAAGGATCTTAGACGAGTTCAAGTACTCTCGACACATGAAACCACTCGAGTCTCGGACTCGCCGCAGAAGGCACGATCGATCTATCTATCACCCACTGTTCACTGACAACGTGGGGAGATACCACGGTCAAGCGCTGGTGTTTTTTCTGTTGGAGAAAAAGATACAGCAGATTGCCTCCATGGTCTGACACATACAATCTTGTTTTCGGCTTCAGCAAGCACTTCCACAGGCTGGGTGGTGCTACAGGTCACTCGCAGCGATTGATGCAGCCGAAGCAAAGCAGATGTTAAAGGGGAGTGTTCATGTGCACACATCTTCTTGTTGTTTCGCGCTCCTTTGCTTTGCTTTCTGCTGTACACTGACACCTTTTTCCCTCCTCCCACCCCACCCCCATTCTCCCTCGCGCGCGCGTTTTCGGCCTTACTTCCACTTCCAAGATCATCTTCAAGAATATCACGGGGATGCTCGGGGCGATGGTTGGCATCGCTCTACTTCTCAACGTGTTCAACCGGGTGTCCAACAGGCGGCGAAGCAGAAAACTCAAGAAATCCATTTTTACTCTGCCCGTCTACGTTTACAGCTCGTCCACGCGAGAACGAGCGAAGGCCGCCAGGAAAGCGCGACCGCCGTTGCAAGGCGAGAAACTTTGGGTCACGAAAAGACAAGTAGTAGCTTCAAGCTTTTCTTAGATTGAGGGTTTCAGAAAAGGGCTGGTACATGCAGTGCAGGTGCATGCGAAGGAAACAACAAGTGCAGCGAAGGAGGCTCTCGAGTGGGAGCATGTTGCTGAGATGTTCTCTATGAGCGAGCATACCGTGTGCTACTTAGATATGAAGGGGTAGTGTGGTAGTCGCTCACGATGAAGTGTTTCGTTCAGGTGGAGTGCAACGTGACGCCAATTTCGTCAAGTTGATTAGCTATGTTGAGTGCAATGGCACCCCATTGTCCCACTATGCTGCTCTTTGTTGGCCCCACTTGGCTCTGATCAGGACAGGAGTATTTGTAAGTATTTGATCCCACGTATCGAACCTCAACGAGTGTGATGTTCGAACATGTTTCTTTTCATTCAGCGCCCTTGGACTCATCGCAAGGCATCGAGGATGTCGGATTAGGACGTTCTTCGTCACCATCAACGCCTGTGGCAACATCATCAACCCGATCACGCTCGTCCTCGGAAGACAGCAGTGACAGCGCTTACCCCATCACTTGCACCATCTGTCTCGCCGCCTACCAAGAAGAAGAAGTGGTGGGTACAGCAGTGGCTCCACTCTTGGGCTAACCTACTATCAATATCAAATCGTCATCGGTCTCAGATGTCAGCGATACCAGGATTTGCGCTGTGGAGTTATTGTTGGGAGCAAATGGAAGTCTTGTTGGTTAGCAATGTCCTCACCAGTTATTCGGGGTTTGTCGCACTCAGATCTAGATTTCGCTTGTGAACAAACAATTCTGAGCGTCGCTCACCTCGAAGCCTTTGCACCAAACTATTAGTGCACCGATGATGTAAGCTTGTGTCCCCACCCTCCCCATTTCAAGGATCTCCTCGCCCTCGTTCTCGCTGTCTGTGTCCGTCTCTTTTACTTGACCTTGTTAGATCAAGGTTCTTCCTTGCGGCCACGACTTCCACTCCGATTGCCTTGACCCTTGGCTGGAGGTCAAGGCCGAGTGCCCACTCTGCAAGGTAAGCCCTCTGCAGCATTGGTACGGGTACTTCTTCCCCGCCAATATCTCTTCTCTTCGGTCTCTTGCCTTGTGTCAACTCATCGGTACAGGCCCTGCTGTGGCCTTTCGACAGTCGGCTGTCGTATTGCAGATACCGCTGTGAGGGTAGCACGCTGCAGGTACCGGTATGCCAAACCAACCACATGCGATCGGTGGAAGGGAACAGAGTCGCTTTCTCTACTGCTGTTTTCGATCCCCTTGTGCCCAGATTTACGGTGCGTATCAAACATCCCTTTCTGCTGCCGATGTCGATACGTATCAAGCCTGCAGGAGTCGTACATGTAATCCCGGTGATGTTGAAAGAGTTTCATTGAACGGTGCTGTTTTGGCCATAACCGTAACCACCACCGCAGGCACCTGCCTTCATCAAATCGCGACATCGAGATGAGGTGGCGCATGGCCGCGCGGTGCACGCAATCAACTCCTCCGCCATTGCCCAAGCACCACCACTGTTGAGATCGCGATCACGCCATGCATCGCGAGGCTCCCAGTTGGATGGCAGACGGAGAAGGGAAGGAAAGGTCGACGGGGGAATGCTTCCTATGAGACCGTCGTCACCACTACCGCCAGAGTCTAGCGCACGTTCCACGCATGTGGGAGCGATTCAAGAAGAAAGATCGTTGCCGATTGAAAGGGCAGGGGAGAGAACACCGGAACAGGCAAGGGTCTTAGAGGGGACACAGCAAACTGGAGAGGTGGTCCCGGGACGGCCTGACTGGGATGCTTGGGGAGAATCGAAAATGGCGGACTTCGCTGCAGATGGTCAACCTCTGGCTGCGGAGCACAACATTGCTCTTGACACGGCCGCTACTGGCATCGGTCCACCTGTTGAGTCCGCGGTCGTGGGTTCAAGGCCGCTTGATGTCGGAGAGGCGGCAGTCACAGCAAGCGCTGGTGGTAAGGCTGCAGACGGCTGCGCGGACCGGCAAGGGAACGAATTGGGAATGGCTTCGTCAGAATCTAATGTTCCTCAACGTGCTGAAAGCGGTGTCAACACTACGGGAGTAGCACAGCCTCCTGCAGCGCCTGGGTTTGGTCGCGAGGAAGTTCCTCTGGACGAGCTCGAGACGGGACAAGTGGGAACAGGGAAGGGCAGAGGTATCGCAAATGTCGCTACCTGTGGATTCAGCGCCGTGGTTGCAAAAGATGGGTGTGATGTAAGTGTAGATCAGGCAGTTTTGTGACCAACAACTGCTGCCGATGATATCGAGCACTGTGAAAGTGGCGAAAAAATACCTCAAATACACCTGTGCCGCCTATCGTGTAGCACGACGGAGTGAGGCGGGCCGTACAACAACGCCACAGGTACACCCTTTAATGAGATTTGGTGAGGTTCGGTTCGCGTTGTGCTATTAGTTTTACCGAGGGCAGTCGCTTGCAATATTGTGTATCGCATCATTACATCAGCGGGTTGGGTTCAGCTGGTGTCGATGATGCTTTGTTTGATTGTCCCCACATCGTTGCTCCCACAGCTCCACTTAAGAGGCACTTGTTCTCACTTGTTCGCAATGCCGGGCGGGAGGGCGAGTTGGTGGGGTGCTTGGTCTTGCAGGGGTATTACTATGATGTGTGACGATCGGCGGCAGCCATCGTGTCTCGGACGTTGTGGCACGGGATGCTTTGCAGTCGAACAAACCATCATGGCACTCCTTGTGTCGGTCCTGTTGTTAATCATCCGTGATGTGAGACGTGTAGCATTCAATCAACTCCGTCGGTGATATTAAGGTTGTGAGATGGAGCGTGCGCGATGAGGGTGCATCTGTTTGTATTGGTCAGAAACGCCGCGATGTAGCGGCAATGTTGTGAGCTGGAGCTTGCACGATTAGCGTGCGTCGTTTGTATTGGTTGGCAAGCTCTTTGGGAAGCGAAGGAGTAATATGGTTTCGTGTAACAACGCGCGGGGCGTAAATATGTTTGGAAATAGCGGAGACCGCGCCGCCACTTAAGAACCTCAATTTTTGCCTGATGCTCGTTTCTTAGTTTTTCTTTGGGGTAACCCAACAGGCGACCGCATATTATATGTCGTAGCCTTAACTGTTATTATAATTTTTATGTGCCTGAAGTTCTGTAAAAGTTCATGTTGTTAATTTTATTCTTGTAGTGTCCTTTTTGGTTGGATATGGCAAGGTTCCGGAATGCGCTGCTTTTCCGATGCCTGGCCTAGCCCGCGGTGTAGAACCGCCTGTTTCCTCTTCGTAGTGGTCTGTAGGGGGTTGCGATACCTTGCCTACCTGTGTGTTGTCACTGCACACGGGCGTAGAGCCATATGATTCTTTCTCAGGTCTGCCTTCCCAGCGTGTCAGCGTGTCGGGTCGAATAATGTGGAGGCGTAGATAGATGTAAATGGCGAGCATGAAAAGAGACTGAGTGGTCTCTCTAAACATTTGTTTTCACAACAGGATGGGGGCACCCTCAAGGAGAAGGTAGCTGTGGTGTGCAACGCGGGGACGATGTGATACTACCCCCTTCACCTCTAGCGTTATTTTACGTATCTCCCTGGCGGGTGGTGCATGTTTCACGATTTTCCCGACCTGGGTTCCCAAACCTTTCGTGGGTGCATCGAGATAAATTGGACTTGTCTTCGATGAGCGGAAAAGACGGCTGAATTGTCCTCGCTGTACGACACAAAGACCAACACTACCGGAGACAAAATTCCGAGAAATAATGCTGCGCGAGTTTGCTCCTGTGAGACTCCGGCTGGTGCCTCTTGGCAAAATAGGCTTACCTGGTACCTCAAGGTGAAGAGACCTATCATACGGTTGTAAGTAGGGTGTGAATACATATGTCTGATGTTGAGACTAGATGGGGCCCACGCACGCACGTGATGTTTTTCGATATCATTTTTTGGTCAGGGAGTAATTTAACGTCGGCACACACACACGGGAGGAGACAACCGAATGACAAGGACGAGGTAAACTCCCATTGAAAGAAAGAGATCGCACGGAGGTTTCAAGGTGCTCCGAAACGAACGTCGAGAAATCGTTGAAAGATTTATTTTAAATTAGTTTCAGTTAGTTGTTGGATCCACCTAATAGACGAGACTACAGGTGAGTTTTCGAAGTGAACTGAATCGTTGGCCCCATGGCAATTAAGAAAAAAAACGACTCATTTTTTAACCCTCGGAGTACACCGACCGCTAGTACAGTGTAGTACACACAGGCCTGTTCTGTACACACGAAATCGATCGGCCTCGGCCAGCTACTTGTAAATGGAAGAGGATAGAAGTGCTGATGCAAATGTGTAACAGCAGAGCCGCAGATCTATGAAGATGGATTCCCGATATATTCGACCCTAGAAGTGCGTGTTTGCGCTCGGGTAGTTTGCCCGTCCTGAAGACGTCGAAAAGCAAGGAACGCGCGCGTGCGAGAGAGAGAGAGAGCAACTTGAGAGCAATAGAGCGAGCCGACCTTGAGCCACCTTATGGGGTATGACTATATTAGTTTTATATAGTCATATATAGTCATACCCCATATGAGCCACCAAGCGCCGAGTACTATTCTAGCCCCCGGTCCCCGCTTCCCGCCGAACCAACATCCTTCCATCGCTTCATATACCCTTTGCACAACCATGGTCGCCGTACTTCGTTCCGTTCTCCGTTCTCCCGCTCCACGCTCTTACTCCGCGTGCGGCTCAATGCTCTATGCTCTATGGCTTTGCAGCCGTCTATCACAATGGTGGAAGTCACAGGGGATGAAGATGAGGAATGGGGGGACGAAGACGAGGTGGTGGTGTGGAGCAAGAACAGCACCAATACCCAGGGTTCGGCGCTTGACGGCGACAATGTCGGTGTCCGGGGGAAACAGCAAGTCGGTCATCATCCTCGTGGCCTGCTTGTCGCCTCGTTGGCCAACCTCGCCATCAGCTACAACGTGGTGAGAGGGAGGTGCCCCTGCGGTACGGTACCGGTTGCAGTCAGTCGTGTTCTCCGTCTCTCCCTATTTAAACTATGCGTCCACAGCAGTGTCCAGGTAACGATCGTTTCGAACGGGCTCCGTAGTCAGCCTTCTATACGCCATGTGGTACAAATACTGCTGTATAGACTCTGTGGTCTCGACTAATGATGACCAGCTCGCCAGCGTTCTTCCGTGATGTCGGACCTTCCCTGGTGTATCGGGATTAGGCTTCGCAATTGGACTCGTTACAGTGGGGGCTACGGTTTAAGAGAGGGGTGTGCATCACCCAGAAGACCTCTCTTAAACACGACTTTCTCTTATTACGGCTCAAGAGAGGTTTTCTCTTAAACCGTACGTTAGACTGCTGTATGTGTCTAACCATGCATAACATAATGGAAGTGATGAAAAGTACTCTAATTTTTTTTGTTTTCCACAATATTTTCGTGCGCTTTAGCGCCCTCACCAAGCGTGATCCCTCTTTCTTGTTTGTGTACGAAGCACAACCGATGTAACTACTTCGTGGTCTCCAAGGTGCACTCCGACCTCATCTCGACAAACAGCGGTGCATATCATAGGATGTGTGTGTGTTTTCGTCCTATTTATTATGGCGACAGTCCCCCCATTTTTCGTGGTGAGACGTGTACTACACGTTTCAGGGTATGTAGAGTACTACACTTTTCAGTGCATTTTTTTCGTACAACTACAACCATCCAGGGTCACACAGGAGGGGGTAAACACCAGGGCTTTTTCTTCTTTTTATTTCTTTTCATGCCCCAACTTCCTCCTGCGGTGCGTGCTGAAATTTATTTTGATCGCGAGAAGGGTCCAGCCGTCCCTTTCCCTCGTCAACGGTGCTAACGTCGAAGTTTGGTACTCACGACAGCTTTTTAGCTATGCATATGTTTCGCTTTCACCCGCAAATTTCGTAAATTTTTCACCCCATGGGGATTCGAACTCACGACCTCTGCGACTAGCGGAATACGAGGATACCACTAGACCACCGGGGTGACCGGGGTTATAGGATAGCTGTCAACAGAACACAGAGACGTGAGCATCACACACACAAAACACTCAAGACCAGTGACTCAAGCACCTACAGCAGTACAAGTGGTGCACCCTACCCTTAAAAAAAAAAAAAACAGACGTCCATGAACATCGCCTGTGGGCAGCTTCTGCAACTTTACATGGAGTCGGCCATGCATGTTTGCTTCGTTTTCTTTGACCCAGCCTCGCTCATCCAGGCTAACTTTGCCTTGCGAAGATGGTAAGCTACCCCGGCCATGCTGCACCTCTCTGCCATTTCTTCGAGGTCTCCGAACTGCCTAGATACGTCAGCGTACGGTGGCGGACGAGGAGAGACCAGGGACTGCGTACACTGTCCCTCGTCTCCCGCCGAGGAGTCGGCCTCGTCGTCGTCCAAGTCTATGTTCAGTTGGTCCATGTTCAGGTGGGCAAGCGACTCCTCACAAAGATCGTCCTTCAGATCTGCAATAATCGCCTCCGCTACACCCTCTTTTTCCTCTACACGCAACCATATCTGCACGGCTTCCATGGAAGCCCAGGTTGGCGTTGCGCCAGGTGCCAACCCCAGACCCTTCAGCGCCTCGCCAAGGTCTTCATCGACAGTTGTCTTCTTCGCCTCAAGAGATAGACGCTGCACCAAGTCCGCCAACTCTTCGAGACTCTCCTTCTTGTTGCGAATTTTCTTTCCCACGTCCTGGTCGAGGTCCGCGTGCACCGCAGGAGGAAGGATGTCACATTTCCTCCAGCACCTTGGAAACGATGAATAGTCAAAATACGCGGGAAGGAGAGAGAAACGTGCACGGCGAGAAAAGAAAAAAACAGAACGNGGTCTTCATCGACAGTTGTCTTCTTCGCCTCAAGAGATAGACGCTGCACCAAGTCCGCCAACTCTTCGAGACTCTCCTTCTTGTTGCGAATTTTCTTTCCCACGTCCTGGTCGAGGTCCGCGTGCACCGCAGGAGGAAGGATGTCACATTTCCTCCAGCACCTTGGAAACGATGAAGTCAAAATACGCGGGAAGGAGAGAGAAACGTGCACGGCGAGAAAAGAAAAAAACAGAACGAGCCGAACGAATAAAAACATTTTATCATTGTTTCAATTCAAACAAAACTTGCAAGATGATGGCGTCTTTGAACAATTTCGTCAACGTGCAATGTACGTGGTAAGGGTATGTGTCTAGAGGGGGAAAATTATTCAGCATTTATTGAATAATGTCGTGAACACCACCACACGGACACACCTCTTGATTGTCTCCGGCAAAACTTCCTTCCACGCCTCGAGGTCTAGCTCAGCTGCGTCCAGGATGTGAGGCTGCGCTCCTTCCGCGAGCCCCATGCAGCCCCGAATCACCTTGCGTTCCTTCGCCTGCTCCCGTAGCTGCGCCGCCGACGTCATCGTGTCGACGCGAATCCCTAGCAGCTTCGTCCTGTACCGCACTTCCCAGGCTGCGATGATCCCGGCATCCATGGGCTGGTGCTTGCTCGTGCAGTTGGGTGGCAGCTCAAGAATCTTCACCTGCTCCTCGGGGTGTACGAGGTCGGCGTGGCTGCTGTGGTTGTCCATGATGAAAAGAACCTTCTCGCTGGTGACGGAGCGCACGTGTGGCAGGAACACTTGCGACCACCACAGCTTGCACACTCGCGCGTCCGACCACGCGTTCTTCTGGCTGAAGTACGTGATGGGTGAGCCCCGGATCTTGAAGCACCGGGGCTCCTTGGCTGTGCCGNCGGGGTGTACGAGGTCGGCGTGGCTGCTGTGGTTGTCCATGATGAAAAGAACCTTCTCGCTGGTGACGGAGCGCACGTGTGGCAGGAACACTTGCGACCACCACAGCTTGCACACTCGCGCGTCCGACCACGCGTTCTTCTGGCTGAAGTACGTGATGGGTGAGCCCCGGATCTTGAAGCACCGGGGCTCCTTGGCTGTGCCGATAAAAGACAGCGGCACCTTACGCCCGCTGGCGCTCGTAGCCATGTAGGCGGTGACTCGATCCTTCGCTCTCATACCTTTCACGCCTCGCATGGTCTTCTTGAGCTCTGATGGTGCGAGGTATGTAGCCTTGGGCCTGATCCTGTAGCACAGCCCGGTTTCGTCGGCGTTGTAGACGCATTCTGGGGCATACTGAGCGCACGTCTCGCGGATTACTCTGAGGCGATCGGCGATGGCTTCGTCGTCGACGCTGCCTGCTTCGCCGTGAAGTGTACGGGAGTGCAGGTTGTTGGGCTTGACGAACTTCTTTACCTCTTTACCCACCCCTCGGACGCGTTGAAGCCGCTGTACTGCACACGCTCGGCGTCCGTAGATGCTGCGTTCTCGAGAGCACGACGAGTTTTGCGCCCGAATGCCTGGATCTCGTCCCGGTTGACAAGGCATTCTCAGTGCCCTCGCCTGCACCAACATTTCCATGACTGCTTGCTCCACCTGGAGAAGAAAAGAGGACATATATTGTTCACGGATTTAGCAGCTGTAGTGTGTGCACTGCTGTTACTGCTCTGCTGTATATCATTTCATCCTACAGCAAATACTGCACGGCATGATGCAGCGTACCTACGCCACACTAGCCGGTTGCCGAACAAAGACGGCCACAAACATACTCGGAATTAAAGCACTGCTGCTGCTGTAGCGGTACAGCAGTAATGTACCCAAGAACTGATACTAAACTGCTGTACACGGCCCCTGCTTGTACGAGAAAAATTCAAAATTCAAAAATAAAATCAAAATACACTCGGAATTACTGCTGTACTCTGCTGTGTACTGCTGTTACAGCAAACTTAGCTGAGCACCCACCTTCGCAAACTCAGCCCCCTTCGTAGACTTGGCGCCGGGCATGGAGACTGCTGCCTGTTGTCTCATCAGACTTAGCTCTCCACCCGTACAAGGTGCTCACCTCGATCCCCATTTCCTTCGCGATTGCTACGCCGCTCATGCCCTTCAAAAGGTCGAGCGCCCGAACCTTGTCTTCGAGCGTCGGTCGTTTGCGGTTCACGAATTTTCCTGCGTGCGGTTTTGCCAACGGGTTTCAAGCTGCCCAGTGCATCCGCTCGCTTCTCCTTCCCCGTTGCCCGCCCGTCCGGGCAGCCTTCCCCGTTGCCCGCCCGTCCGGGCAGGGGCGCTTCGAAGATGCAGCCCCAGCAGTCGAGTCTGTGCTTGATTCCTTGCGGTTGCTCGAGTTGACCCATCCGTGGCAAACACGGTGCATCTCGTTGTCGCCAAGCGGGTCATGCACACCGCACAGTCCATGAAGGTAGCCTCCGCAGACACGGCATGGATGGTTCGTAAACAGTGGGGGGCGGGTGTGTGGTCCGGCGTTGCCNATGTGTGTGGTTCGGCATTGCCAGGCAGCGGGAACCCACGGCGCAAGGCATTCGTGGGAGCTGTGTGTCTCGCTAGCTATGATGGCCTACTGCTGTACAGCTGCTTGAGCTGCTGCAGTGGGGGGCAGCTGGTGGGCTATAGGGGGTGGGGGGCGGGGGGGCAGGTTCGGTTTAGGAGAGGTTTAGGAGAGGTTCAAGAGATTCGGGGTTCGGTTTAAGAGAGGGGTGTGTCTAGCAATTTTGACCTCTCTTAAATCGGCAATTCTCTTAAACTGAGCTCTGTTAAACCGTAGCCCCCACTGTATCTAGATACCAATCGTGTGGTCATTGTTCGTTATTGTTGTGGTGTCTTCACACATAATAACCATTCCGATCTCCTCGTCTGCTCTGGAACTTCTCGCTACAATTTTCCAAGCTTTTCAAATATGGAAGCACGCTCAGCATTGTCCTTATGTAACTACTGCTGTAGTCGCTCACGGTTTCGTGAGTATGATAAGTTCATCTCAGGCCGCACATGTTGCAAGAAGGCATGCCCGATTCTCGATACCACTACTCCTGTTGTACAGCACCGTAGGTATGTCTCAAACGATCACATACTTTAATTTCATCTTGCACTAGAATGCACAAACCACAAATTGAATGCGGAGGCCCTGATATCAAACCTCCGCCCCGGCTACGAACAACTACCAAGCAAGTCGATTCCGCGTCTAGGAAACCGAATTGTATCTGTCCCGCCGAAAGACTGGTGACTTTTTCCTGGTCAATTATATATAGGATGAGCGCCCGAGCCATAAAGTCGCCCCCCCCCCCCCCCCCCCCCCCCCCCCCCCCCCCCCCCCCCCCCCCCCCCCCCCCCCCCCCCCCCCCCCCCCCCCCCCCCCCCCCCCCCCCCCCCC